AAAGCAGCGAATGCAGCAGTGGAGGGGAGGTTTGTGGCCAGCAGCTGCCAAGAGCTGTGCCCATCCCAGCTGTCCAGTGTAACACAGAATGATGGATTTGGGATCTCAGGGAGAAGATGTGTGGGCATAATACTGCTCTTGTTGGAAGAGCAGCTGATGGAAAGACATGCTGTAGTGAGTGGGATAGTTTGGTCTTTCTGGTGGTGGAGGGACAAAATAATCGAGTTCTAACCTTCAAATACCATTTTCCCCTCAGGCACTACATAGTATCTCTAGTGGTGTATGGATCCATACATTTATACACCTCTGAGTGGCTAAATGAGCTCCTCAGACCCTACTGGAAAGCTTTTACTCCTCTGAGGAGTGTTTGGGTGCTCTGTCTGCCTCACCTGGCTGTTGCCTACCTCCCCACCGTGCTCTTGCACTCCCCCAGGCATCCTGTCACAAGATCAACAGCTTCAACCAGGGTCACAGCATCTAAAATTTAGAAAAAAATATCTTTCATTAAATTAATTTAGTATTCCTGGTTTTATTTCTCTCCAGAGAAACCTCTGGCTCAGCTGCTGTGTGAAGGACGTCACAAAGTCATCTCTGTCTCAGCTAGACCCACAGTCAGAGGGCTGTCAAGTTGGCAGTCCTGTTTAGGGCAAGAGACAAGGAGAATAGTGGAAAATAAAACAGTAAAATATTTAACTGTGTTTAAAATGCATGGAGGGAGAAGGGAGTTGCCTGCTTGGAAGGGCAGCATTCCAGCTGGGCCAAGGCAGACTAGTTTAGCCCATGTCAGCATGCCTGGCTTCTTCATGTCGTGTTCTTGTAACTGTGAAACCTCCAGTTTACTGAGAATGCAGTAATTCACTTTGAATAATGGATAGAAACAGGCAAATATTTTGCTAGGTTCCTGTTTAAGAGATCATTGTTTTGGATCCTGAAAATGAATGCAGATCATGAGGGCTTTTTTTTTTTAAATCAGGGGAACAAATACTTCTTATTTTGTCCCTGGGTAAGAAAGTAATTAAGGAGAACCAAGGGAAACAATAATTTTATTTAGATGCTATTCCAGAATTTTCCATTTGAGGTGGTTCATGTCTTTGTGTGGAACACCCAGTTTAACTGCATGCATGGAGAAGCAGCTGCTGGCCTGATCTGGGGTGTGATCTGATGATGATGCTTTTTTTCCCAAGGATTTGAGTGCAATGGTGCAAGTTCAGGGTGCCATTTTTCAGGCAGTGCTGTGGAAGAAAGATCCAATCCAGCTGAGCTGAAGAGAACATCAGAAGTGTTGCGTTTTCTCACGAGTGCATTTTTGTGTTTGCCCCTCTTGCACCTGCTATTTGTGCAACTTCTTTACTCCTTCCAGACTGAAAATATCTGTGAGGACAGGCGGTCACTAATTCTTGTGATAAAATTACCATTCCTTTCAAGTGTCTGTCTATAGAGGAAAAGAAAGGAGAGAATCATTTGAAGAAACATTGACAGCAGTAGGCAGCTATGCAAATTTTCTCTGGTCTATTTAAACATACACATTGGTTTTAAATATAATTCTGAACTTGTCTAGGCTACAACAAGGTCAAGAAAGAGAGAAATGTACCCTGTGCAGATTATTTCAGACACGAGGCAGCCTGTATACATTTTCACCTTCCCACTCATAACCCAGCATCTTGCTGTTACTGTGTTTTTAATTCTCTTGGGTTGTAAATAGGAAACAAAAGGACCTGGTGCTTTTTTTCACACTATTACAGATGGATAGATTGGAGCAGGTAAAATAATGCTGGACTTGGTGATGAATTGGAGAAAAAAGTCATGTTAGTGCATTCTGTGCTTCCAGTGTGCAGAATCATGGGCTTCACAGGGCTGAAAGAAACATGAAAATGTGAAACCTGTAAATGGGGCTGGAAGGGTTTTGCAGAAGGCCTGCTCTAGTGCAAAGAAAAGCTTTGGTCTTGTTGGAGAAAGGACAGGATGAAATGGTTTGTCTTGTGAAAAGAAGTCAGAGCAGAGTGGTAACCTTGAATGCTAAAACGTGTGGCTTCTTTCTTTCACATGACATTGATGATCTCACATGGTGGTAAAGATTTAAATTTTTTTTAAAAAAATGTAGTTTTTCCTTTCTTTTTATTTTTACAGCAGAAGGTTTGCTGTTGTTTGGTGTGGAGTTTTCTGCTCCATCCTCCCTAACTTCCCCAGGAGTTCTGCATTTGTGGTTAATGCAGGATGGATGCTTTTCTTCCCTAAAACAGTGACAACAGATTTCTTACCAGTTCTGCTTTTGTAAGAGACATTTTAAACCCTGTATTTTTATGAGTGGGATCTCTCAGGCTGCAAAGCACCATGACAAAGGATTTCTAGAGAGTACATGAAGCCATCTCCTGTCATTGCCAGCCTCTGACTCTTCTCCAAATCCTCCTCTAACTGGACACAGTACTGCAGGAGCAGAGCTCAGCAGTGAGGAGGAGATGGGAGGAATCACTTTCCTGGACCTGCTGGCAGTTCTGTGCCTCACTCAGCCAAGGATTTCCACCACAGACATGCTCAACTCTGGGAATACCAGAACCATTTTCTGCCAATCCACTTCCCAGCATGTGTTGGTGCAGGGGGTTGTCCCTCCTTAGGTACAGGGCTTTGCACTTCTCCCTGCTGGACATCCTGGGGCTCCTGTCAGGAGCTGGAGTGGCTGACAGCACTGAGATGTGGCGAGTGAGAGCGACTGGGGCTGTATCCAGCAGTTTGTCTGTGCTGGTTTTGTTTTTGCTGAGTGCTCTCCCATCACTCTCGTCTCAGCTGTGAGGCAGGATGACAAAATCAAGATTGGGCACTGCCCCATGTTTGTCCTTATGGAGCACAGGGATATGATTTCCCAGGGGAAAGGACCATGACTGTGTACATGAGTGTGTGAATACCTTCCCAGGTCTGGAAGTGTGTGAACACCTTCCTGGAGGAGAGCTGCTCTCTCTTTTTCCCTGGTTCTTGCTGTGTGTTTGCAGTGACCCAAAATAAATCACCTGGGTGCAACGTGGCCTCCAGCAATTACTAGAAATGCTGGGGCAGAGCTGTCACAATGCTGTTACCAGGCTCACTTGGTCTTTGAAATTGCTGGTTTAGAGAAAGATAAAGAACAGTTCTGACTTCTGTCTTAAAGTTGTCTCCTTCCTGCAGTTTTATAGACAATTAGGAAAAACGCAATAATTTTTTTTCTAGAAATTTATAGTTCATAGATCACTGTAGTCTGCTTTGACCTTGTTTAAAAGAGAAAGTGCATATTCCTAATTGAATATCCCTGTAAGCTCCAGAAGCATGAGGTGTATCCAAAGCTCACATTTAAAGTTTACATTTGAAAAGTTAATAAAATGCTTCTATTTTTTACCTTTTCCCAGTGAATTTTTTATGTGCATTTTTGAGGTCATGTATAAATAGCCAGACACAAATGTTTGTGCAGTGCTGGTGGTGTGTCATGATATTTTAAGCTGTTCTGATAAATGATGAACAATGGATTTACATTTGTGTGAACGTGTTATGTACGTGGCAAATGGCATAGCCAAGTTTGTACATGATTTTTTTTCCTTGAGGTTTTATTGTCTTTTCTTTCCCCTGTTTTAAATTTCTCCTCCCTCAGGGCTTCCCTTAACACTCCAAGTCCCTGACTCCCAGCAGCAAAAGACATTTAAAAATAAGCCTAGCTCTGGAACAGGGTGCCCAGAGAAGCTGTGGCTGCCCCATCCCTGGGAGTGTTCAGGGCCAGGTTGGATGGGGCTTGGAGCGACCTGGGATAGTGGAAGGTGTCCCTGCCCATGGCAGGAGGTTGGAATGAGATGATCTTCAAGGTCCCTTCCAACCCAAACCATTCTGTGGTTCTGTGATGATTCTAACGTAGAAATGTTATGTTTCCTTTCTCAGATATGAGTATCTTCCCTAATTTTCACCTACTCAGCATTCAAATTAAATAAAAATTAAACCTTCCCCTGAACCCTTTTCCTGTCCATAACTTGATATTTTACCCACAACTCTCTGGTAAAAAAATGACATTATACCTGTTCAGCATCTCCTTCTGTGTCCTTGGGAATATATTTCCTAACTAAAGATACTCGGATTTTCAATTTTCCTGCTCAATAGTGAGCTGCTACACTGCTGAAAATCCTAGTGTTTTCTTTGCTGCACCCATCTACCCCATCCACTGATGCATCCACACCATCACAGACACTGGGGTGTTTTTCCAGCAGGAATGACTTGCTGACATGGTCCTGGGCTGGTGCTGCTGTCAGGGACAAACATCTCCTTGCTGGGTGCTGCAGGAAATTGTTCCTCAGGGGCAGCTCAGTGTGTGGGTCCCAGGCTACAATTAAAGCAGCTGTTTATCATCAGTATAATAGCTAAATGTATTTCTTAATGCTGTTTAAAATCAAGTTCTTAATCTGAGTTTAAATGCTTAATGATATATATATATATTATTTTTTTTTAGTTTGAAGCATTGCTGATGGTGCAGTCTTTTTAAAAAGTTTTTCCAGTTAATTTTTGTCCCTGAAGTTTAGGTGGGGCAAAAACCAGTAAAGACTTAAGGATCAGACTTCTGGGGCTGCTCCAGTGGTCCTGAATCAGCAGGAGCCTTTCTGTAGCTGGGAAGGATTTTCCCTCAGCAGGATTTGCAGATTTGGGAAGCCTTTCCATGAACTTCCGTGGCTTAGAATTAGATTTCAGCAGCAGAGAATGTCCCCAGCAGTCTGAAAACAGGATGTCATCCCTCCAACACACTGTCTCCAGAAGGCAGAAGAAGGAGTTTTGATTCCTTTCACATTTACCTGTGTTGCCTTGAAGGAGCTGTATTTTTTTCCTCTTTAGCAAGGTCTTTAAGCCCGGAGCCTAAAACCGCTCTGTGCGCCAATTTAGAGAAACCACTGAGGGTCTGAGACTGCATATCTTCGAGCAGAAAGGAGATTTACTAGCATTGGGTGAGGCCTGAGTAGTTCTGACACGATTTCTGACACAGTTTCCTTCTTTCCCTGCAGGCTGGACCAAGTTTGCCCGGCTGACGCGGGCGCTGACCAACAGCCGGAGCGTCCTGCAGCAGCTGACGCCCATGAACAAGGCTGAGGTGGTGCACAAACACTCCCGCTTGGCCGAGGTAGGTGGGGTGGACACCAGCCTGCTCCCTTCTGAGGGCAGGAGGGGGAAGAAAACCCACCCTGATTCCCACTGGTAAAGGATGTTCTTAGAGGAAAATATTTCCCGACTCTGATTTTTTCAGCCTTGCCTCCACCCGTCCTGAAGCAGCAGCACGTGGCAAGCCCTCGTTTTTAGGGCAGGTTATAAAAGCAATCTCTGTAGGGCACTTTTACTGAAATGACCTTATTTCTGTGCACACAGTCCTCAGCTTCCTGGGTCTTCCTTAACTTGGGGTGCACAGTGTGCTCCTCTGCTGTGCTCACAGGGACAGGGAACCAGGATTGATGTCCTTGAGTCCCTCTCCCAGGAAAATGGGACATTTGAGAAACCTCTTTGGCAGCATTGCTGTCTGTGTCCCCAGGAACTGCATATATACCCTGATCTTGACTTTCTTGCACAGCCATTCCTACAATATTTCCCTCGTCACTTTTATCTTCAGAGCTGATGAAATGAACTCTTTGGCAGGTTGCAAACATCTCCTTAACAGTGCAGGTGGTGCAACAAGTGAATACCTTCAGGTTAACTGATGAAACAGGTTCTGTTTTCATCCTCATGTCCACTGGTAATGAAAAATAAATGGGTCAAAAATACAGGGTCAAAATATACGAGCTACTGAAAAAGATAACACTTGTGCCAGAGAACTTATCCTGTAGAATTGATGGCAGCTTTAAATGTTTGGGTTTTTTAGGTTTTTTGTTTTCTTTATTTTTCTGGTTTTAGTGAACTTTGATAGTAAAAAATGCAAATTATCAGAATGGAAACCCACAGTTTTCAGGTGTTGGCAGTGTGGTGTTTTCCCTTGCATGCTCCTATACCAATAGCTTGGATAAATGCTGGGTTACTGACACCTCATGCTTTTCAAATTCATGATGTTTCAGTGTCCTGTAAATCCAGCTATATCCATTCTTCGTTTAATCTAGAGAAGGGAAGACTGGAAAAGATATGGTAACAATATTCAAAAGAGTCCAAATCAGCTGCATGGAATGAGGGAGGAAATTGTTCACCAGGACCACTATGGCTAGAGGAAAAAGAAATGGCATTAGGTCACAGCAGGGGAGATTTAGATCAGGCGTAGGTGTGCTCAGGAATAGGTGGGATGAGGTTGTACTCAGGAGTAGCTGCTTGGAGAGTGTGAAAAATCCTCTCTTAAAAGTAGTTTATGGCTGGAAAGTGCTTTGCAGGCAAAGTGCTGTGAGGAAGGCAGAGTGAGGGGAGGTTCACCATCGCTGTACAGGCCCCATTTTCCCTATTTCTGTGTCTGAGCAGGAACACTGCCTTCATAGCTCATCCCTTGCAGAGTGTGCAGCTCACCTTATCAGACTTAACAGTTAGCAGTCATTTTCATTAGCTGTACACTAATAATTCAGACAGTCTGTGGTAAATGCAGCTGCCTAATAAGATACTGTATTGTGTATTTTTTGGTGATTTAAAATTAAAAATCCATGCAGCTTGAAAGAAATAATCATTATAGTTCAGTGGTCTCCACAGCCACCTGCCACCCACTCACCATGTCAAACTCAGCATGATATTATGTTAAGAATAATAATTATGCTTTTACAGTATTGTGGGAGCTCCCAAGCACTCCACCACCAGAGGCACAGGGAACTATCAAGCATATGTTAATAGCATTCTCCTTGAGCCCTGAGTAGCTTATTTTTCCAGCTCTAGTGAGGATGTTTCCAGCTCCTGCCCCAGTGAACAAGGCAGGGAACAAACAGGCCTGAAGAAACCAGGGAAAGAAGTCCCAGTGCTGATTTATCAGTGAAGTGTTGGACACTGATGTGTCCAAAGGGATATCTGGAGATAACAACCAAATTATGAGGCAAAGCCAAAATGGTGTGTTAAGTGCAGGTGAAAATTTTCACTTTGAAAGAAATCTTCACAAGGCTGCTGTGATAAAATGATTGCATTGATCACTGCTGTAATTCCAGGGAAAACCCCATGGACCCACCAGCGAGTTCAGTGTGCTGCAGTGGTTTTAGGAGTACAGAAGTGCTGATAGTGAGCCTGTCCTGGGCACTGGGGGAGGGACACCTGGGATTTGATGTTTTTGTAGGTCTCACCAGGGGTTTTGGCATCTGTGGCTGTCTATGACTAGTGCCACAGGGACCACCCCACCCCACAGAGGGCTCTGTGTTAGACTGGAGCTGGTGTGGCACGAGGCTGCTGGTGAAGGGAGCAGCCACGGGTTCCTGGAGGTCTCTGCTGCTCTCTCACTGCTGCCTGCGTAGTGGGTCCAGTGTTTTTCTGGTCATGGCCTAAATTTGTGCAATTCTACTGACCCTGTGGGAAAGAAATGGCTAATTAATGTAACAAGTTAGATTTGTGTTGTGTCAGCTCAACTGACTTTCCTTACAGGTAGTGATTGCTAAATATGGGCTTAGGAAGGGTGGGACCAGGTAGGCAGAAGCAGGTTTGCATCCCTTCAGCCTGACATTGGCCCAGATTTGTCATCTTGGGAAGCCACATCCCCCATCACAGAACGAGGGAGGCTTCTGTTGTCCCTTGGTGATTCCTGGAGAGCAGATTTTCAGCAGAGCCAGACTTTTACTGTTGGATCTCAGTAACAGCTTTCTCTTAAAAGACAAGACTGCAAAGAATTAATGGAAAATCCCTATCTATGGTGCTTGAGTTCATATTCTTAGTTATTATATGGTTATTTCAGAGCCATTTACTCCTCTCCATTGAGGAATCATTCTGTATTTGATCAGTTCTACACATCTGAGGCTGGAAATATGGTGCATCAGCCCTAGTATGGGGCAGGTGTAGGGCTGAAATGAGTTTTAGAGTTGCTGTAATTATTTATTTTATCCCATATGGACTTCAGATCCCCAGATGGATCCCCAAATGGATGTTTCAGTTGTCAGTGCAATAAATTGTCATGTGTGCGTTCCTTTGTGCCTTTGTTTCTTGTGTTAGACTGAGATAAGAGGTAATTAGATTAGCTGAGAATGCCTTAAGTGAATTTGGCTTGGTTTTTTGCAGTGTTTCCAATTCCACAATTTTACAACAGTGAGCATGCAGGAGATTATAGTCCTGTGCAAAAAAAAAAGAGGAGTAATTACAGGAAATAAAGGAGAACCTACTAGTGATATTGAGCTTGTGGGAGCAACAACTTCTTGAAGAAAAGACGAAGGAAGTGTGATATTGGCAGGATTTTAGGACAAAAGTTGTGCACATGATGCCTCATTTTAGGTGGTCAGCCAGCAAGGCTGGGGTGTTTCACCTTTGATAGGGTGTTGCTCTGGCTCAGCAGTGATTTACAAAAGAGGTCAGGCACAAGGAATTAGTCTTGTAACTATTGCAAATCTGAATGAGTGTTCTTGTTTAGGTTATGTGTTAGGAAGAAACTCCTCACTGTGAGGGTGCTGAGGCACTGAACAGGTTGCCAGAGAAGCTGTGGCTGCCCCGTCCCTGAAAGTGTTCAAGGCCAGGTTGTATAGGGCTTGGAGCAGCCTGATCTAGTGGAAAATTCCCTGCCCACACCAGGAGGGTTGGAGATAGATCATCTTTAGATTGTCTTTTCGTTCCCTTCCAACTTAAACTATTCTATGATTCTATGTTCATAACTGCAAAGCATAGGCTGGTGTGGCAGTACCCAAAACACCTTTATGGAGCCTCTCTTCCCCTGCTGTTGGCTTGGGCTCCCCTCATCTGCAGAGACCTTTTTTGCAGGAATATCCTCAGATGCTGTGCTGCTGCCATTCATTGTTTGAGAGCTGCCTCCACACATCCTAAATAAATCAGATTATTTAGAACCTGTGGCTTGCCTTGCAATGTCCAGCAAGCACGGTCCCGTCTCTGCTGCTCCTGACAGGAATCTGTAGGACCCTCATTGGATCCTCTTCACTGAAAACAGTAACATTTGCCTCTCTGCCTCTTACAGGTTCTCCAGCTGGGATCTGATATTCTTCCTCAGTACAAACAAGAAGCTCCAAAGACTCCACCACACATTATACTCCACTATTGTGCTTTCAAGACCACCTGGGACTGGGTCATCTTAATTCTAACCTTCTACACAGCAATCATGGTTCCATATAACGTGTCCTTCAAGACAAAGCAGAACAACATTGCCTGGCTCGTGCTGGACAGCGTTGTGGACGTTATTTTTCTGGTTGACATTGTTTTGAACTTTCACACGACCTTTGTTGGCCCCGGGGGAGAGGTTATATCTGATCCCAAGCTCATACGGATGAACTACCTGAAGACGTGGTTTGTGATTGATCTTCTGTCCTGTTTACCATATGACATCATCAATGCCTTCGAGAATGTGGATGAGGTGAGTGCCTGTAGTGTGTCTCCAAAGGATTATTTTAACTAAGGATTAATTTAGAAGCTTGTTCCCAGTGAGGCAGCTCATGCTCTGTGCAAATACAGCGGGGTGGCCTTGAGCTGCTGGGATTTACCAACAAGACATTCCTGTGTTGGTGGAGAGGTGTCTTAGGGTTCCAGTACCATGTGTGGGAGTTTATTTTAGAGACAGGGGTTTTAGAATGGCTTGAATGTCATCCAAAAGCACAGGTGCAAGTCCCTGTCGAAGTGGGCTGGGCCAGCTGGGATGTGCCCTGTCACAGCCTTCCTTCTCAGCTCAGTCTTTGGGCAGCTCTAACCCATTGCAGGGCTCGATTACAGTTCTGTATTTGCTCTGGCTGAAGCTGGTGACAAATTTGCCACTTATATGAGAGTAGGAAATGGCTCTGAATAAATGTATTTTTAAATCCTAGCCTAGGACTACCTTTTGAACCAGGCTGTAATATTTTCTTTTTTTTTTAATGCCATTTTAAATGTTTGATTGAGAGGGAGATTTATTTCCATTTTTTTTGGTACAATTTTTCAACTACATCTAAAGTTTGAGAAACTGTTTGAGGAGAGAAAACATAAATATTGTAGATGGATACTGAATTAAAGCTTTTTAACTGCTAAGTGTGTTAACATTTATGCAATCAAGCTTCTGGCCTAAGCTAATACAGAAAACAAGCAATAACTACAACAAATAGTGCATGCCCAAGTCAGTGTACAGAAATTCATTATTAAAATGGAACTGTAATGGTTTTAGGACTTGTTTTAATTTTTCTCCAGAGCTTTTTGTCTTCAGGGCCATAAACAGATGAAAAAGCCTCTGTTCATTTTTGAACATTTTAAGACTTTTTTTTTGAACACCGTTTAGTGAGGTTGTTTGTTTGTTTTTAATTCTCTATTCTGCACTTATAAATCCTCACTATATAAAACCTACATTCTTTCTTTTTTTTTTTAAATCCAGGCTTTGCTGCAAATTTTGTAGAGCTGCTTTAAGATTCCATCCCTGAGTCTGTGTGCTGAGTAGCATCTTTTGACATTGTTCCATTTTATTTATACCAAATATGACAGAAGTGATAATACTTGCAGCTTAAATTCAAGATCCCATGAGTGCTGCCCATCTGAAACCAGGTTGTACAGTCAGACTGTTTAAGAAGGTGATATTAGCAAAGTTGTAGATGTAATACCTCTTTTTAAGATAACCAGTTTCAGGCTCAGAGGAACCTGATTTTCATAAGAAATGCAGCATTATCTCCAGATTTTTGTGCTTTAGTATGTAAAACAAACAGAAAATTTCTGTGCCCAGGCAGGACAGATTTAAAGGATGAGGTTAACCTCTTTCTCTAACATGTACATGGGAAATAAACCATCTGCAATATTTGTGACAGGGAAGAGAATCTTGACACAGCACATTGTAACTGAGACACGCCTAAAGTGACAAACTTTAATCAAAAAGTAATAACAGTATCAAGGTATCATGAACTCCAGTGATCCTAGAGCAGCTGTCATTTACTTTCAAACAAATTAAACATTAACTCCTTTTTAATAAAGGAGCCAACAGTAAGATTCCCTTGTCACCAAGTGCTCTGTTATGGCTCTGGAGCCTTCAGCAGGTACTGGCTTATATTTACTTGATTTCCCTCCCCTCCAAGTCCAGCTTTCCCTAGTGTCTGAAAAGAATTGAAGTGGTTTTGAAAACAGGTATGTAAACAGTCAGCCTTTCCTCCCTGGGTCTACATTTTCTCTTTTCCCTGTCCTTCAGGGGAGATATTTTTATTTTTTTGTGATATGTCTTCATTTGTGACATTTAAGTCTTTTGAGCTGGTCCGTGTGTTCTGGGTGGTTACAGTTATTAATTCTCTTTCACTTCATTTGGTTTTTAACATTTATTTTAACTGGTGCTTCTTGTCTGGGATTTTAACTTTTTGGCCCCCCAGCAGCAGGGTGTTCAAACACTGTTTATAGGTAAAGAATAAGTAAATATAAAATCTTAATTTGTGAGAGATACTCTGATTAAAAGCAATGGTTCTGATTAGAAAGTGGATGTTTCCTTCTTAAGCCAAGTGGGAGAGAGAAGAGTTCTTTAAGCTCTTGATTCTGCTAGGTTTTAACTCTTTGTCTTGGCCCTGGGTGTTGGAAAAAAGTGTTAAAGTTGATGATTGTGTCATTTCAGATGAAGCAGCAGAAAATGAGCTTAGCAGTAAAGACTTGGGTACAGGTCCTGGTGTTCTTTGAGTTCTTGGTATGGTGGAGAGGGATGGGCCCAAATCAGAGGGAACAGCCCTAAAAGCCAGCTGAGTGAAAGGTGACTTTCCAAATTTCCCTTGTTTTTCCCACATCTGACCCTTGTTGTCCCACATAAATCATCAGATGATTTTTTTCTAGTTGTTAAGGAGCTGGATGAGAAGGGGGAACACCATTGGAGGGGGTTTATTTTCCTCCCTATGGGCAGATCTCTCACTCATGAAGAAGGATATGGCCAAGGAGGTTTGGGATTTTGTCTCTTTGTTGTATTTGTAGACTGCTCTATGTGATAGAGGTGCTTGAAGTAAATTAAGATGCTTTAAGCACTAGAGTGCTATTTATAATGCCAAAATTAAGGAGATGAATTAAAAGATTAAAAAAAAAAAGGTTGAAAAAAGGAAATGTGTGGTTTTTTTTACCAAGGGTTGTAGTTCTTCAAATGCAGCCGGTCTTGGTCAGAGTAGGAACGGTGTCACTTCCTTCCCAGACAGCATTAGGTGAAGGCTGGAGTTCCCCCCTGAGGCAAACATGACTGCAAATCAAAGTTATTTTGTTGTTGAGTACATGTAGAGCCTTGGTTGAAGGATGGTAGAAGGAATCCTCTCTTGATGGAGAGGATTATGCCACACAAATTGAGAACTGGGGGGGATTAAGGTGATTTGAGGCAGAATTAGAGGTGTAGGTTTCCAATCCTGGAGTTACAGAGCCAGGCTGCTGGAGTCTGCTCAGGGGGATTGGGATGTGTGAGAGGGAGAGGAAAGGGAACATAATAGAGACACTTGGCAGAGCACAGAGTGATCTAAGTTGATGTGATGGATGAGGAATTAAGTGGCTAAGTGGTATTGATAGGGTAGGAAAACAAGGTAAGATAGGCTGGAGAAAAATGAACTGATGGAGAGGAAAGTGGAATCCTTAGTGGGATATTTAATTTTGGAAACTTGCTAGGATGGAAGTCCCAGAAAATCAGAAAAATACATGACATCTTTTGTAATTGGGCAGCATATCCTGCACTGAAATACATTCTGGCAAAGCCAAAACCATAGAGAAAACCTTTCCTATACAGAAGTGTGATGGGAGGCAGCATGGTACATACTGGGGAATCCAGGCAGTTTTCAAGGATCAAACCAGAACAGAATGTGTGTGCTCAGAGTCTCTGAAACTTGGCTCATTTTTTTTTTTTTTTAGTATAAGAATTCTCTGAAACTTCAGATTTAGTCTAAAAGTGTCTTCTTCTCTCTTCTTTAACATTATGCAAAAAAGAAAAGACAGAAAATTTTGGATTAATGGGCAATTTGGTGTTTGGATCCAAAGATTTTGGTCCCATGAAGTTCCTGCAGGTATTAGAATGTGTAGTGTGTAGTGACTGAAAATTGGATTTTTGTCATGGAATTACAAGTTGCTTTGCAGTGCTTCTGATTTTCTTTTTCCTGAGTAATGAGCTGTATGTAACAACTCTTCCACTGCTGTATGCACCAGTTTATAAAAAATATAAAATCGTGACTCCCTGCTTTTGAAGCTGGAGAATTATGTAACCTCAAGCCTTAGCCTTTATATGTGTTCTGCCTATTTGAGAGATAAATATCTGACCTCTCTCGGTCTGGGCTACCAAAAAGTTGTTTGTAACCATTTCTTCCATACAAGTCACAATTATCAGACTCATAATGTGATGAAATTGTCAGAAAATTTTCAGGTGCTCAAGAATGCTGATCAGGTGTGGTCAAACCATGCTAAAATCTCCCTTTGGGACCAAATACATCAATTTACATCCCAGGACACCAGAATGTTGGGCAGGTGCTTGGCTCTTGTCTTCACATGTATTTGAGCCTCTGCAAATAAGTGTTTTGAGTAAATATTCCCCAAACTGGATGGATGGACGAGCTTTTGGCCAAATGGAAAATGCTTCCACAAATTAGGGTTAAATTCAGCTAAAAAAGCCTCTTACTATTTTGAAAATATGGTTTTTTTCCCCTGGGAATTTTAACTGAGATTCATGAATTTCTGAGTTTGTCATGAAATAAAACCTAGGAGCTGGATCTCCTCTCTGCCAGCAGCATGGTGCTGAAATGCCATGTCACGTAGTGTGAAGGAAGGGACACGAAGTCAGGGTGGTATCCAGATGGTTTTCAGATGAGTTTATAAAAGATCATCCTTTCTGCAGAAATTAATTTTCTCAAGCCGATGGCTGGAAGTGAAAGCAGAGAAATTTAAATGACCTAAACCAAAGTTCTGTGCCTGTTGTTTAATAATGTAAGACTACGTGACTCAGTGGCCTTTAAAATTTAGTGATCTGTGCAGGGCATATTAAAGCATGGACTCCTTGTAATTGTAATTTTCTTTTAATTACTATTATCGATCTATTTCAGCACTGTCAGAAACTTCTTTGTATCGCTGCAATTAATAGGAACTAAAATTGCAATGTCTGTAAATTGAAAGCAAATGGAAGCTGATTAAGCTGGTGTAGCCGTGTTCACACCTGCAGTGCTTTACTGCAAACATTCCCTTTGTGGGAGGTATTTGAAGCAGGGTTTTTGGGCACCAATCAGGCTGAGTGAAGGTGAAGGTAAATTGGTGTGTTTCAAGAGTGTGATTTTGGCTCTGAAGTACAGTCTATGGCCAGCTACCTTTTTTAAATCTAGGTGGCCGACACAGAGAAAATAATTCCCAGAACTAAATCCTGGCTGCAACCAAGTGTTAAACCATGATGCAAATTCCTAGCAAGTCACAACAGGAGCACTAACC